GGGTGTATCTAGATACACCCATATTACACCTATCCTCCGCGAGCTGCACTGGCTTCCTATTGGTCTCTGGACGCGCTTCAAGGTGCTAGTCGTTACTTTTAAAGCCCTACATGGTTTAGGACCTGGCTACCTGAGAGAGACCGCCTCCTGCCACTTACCTCCCAACGACCCACAAGATCGCACAGGTTGGGCCTCCTCCGGGTGCCGTCAACCGGACAATGCCTGCTGGCGACTCCCCGGGGGAGGGCCTTCTCTATTGCTGCGCCGGCCCTGTGTAACGACCTACCTGCAGAGATCCGGACCCTTAACTGGCCTTCCGTAAAGCCATCAAGACCTGGCTTTTCCGGCAGGCCTGGGGCTGGTGATTGATATCCAGCCCCGTTTAGATGGAATGGGGGATATAAATTTTAATACTGTATTTTATTTTTTTATATCTATTTTTAAAATTAAATGTTTCTTGTCTGTTGTGAGCCACCCAGAGTCCCTATGGGAGTGGGTGGCATACAAATTCTAATAAACTTGAAACATTATAAAACAACTAAAAAAAACATGCCGGCAATGGCATGGGCGACCGGGGAAACAGTTCGGGGGCATGGCGAGTCTGCCGTCCCTATTGCTTCGGCAACCCAGTCACAATTTCCACTACTGGTTCGCCTGAACTGGTGCAAACCGGTAGCAACCCACCTCTGATAGCAGTTTCCTCAATTGTTCATCAGTTCCACAAATCGTTCCACAGATTGCTTCCCAAACTTGGAATAAAATCTACAATTCGTATGCCTTTTCCTTGCTTTCAAGATCTGTGATTCATTCCAATCCTAATTTCCTTTCCAAACTGCCCAGAAGTGATGGCAGGGTCAGTAAGGGTGCCAGAAAGGTTAAAGGTCTGTTCAAGAGAAGGCAGGCAGGAAATACAGCTACTTCTGAGTGGCAGCAATAGAGACTCCGGAAGAGGATGCTTTGCTCACCTCTCCTTCTTTTTACAGTGCTTCTGGTATGACGTTCCCAAATAAACATGCAGAGGACTATTGTTTTAAAGAGCATTATATAGTGTATCTGTCTGTCTGCCTATCCATCCATCTAGAAGAGAATCTTAAATGCACAGCCTCTTTAAATCTAAATGACAAATCTGTCCCCATTGGCAAACAAGTGATGTTTGATATAACTGCACTAGATACTGAAAGCTTATGGAACATCATTTGTATTGCTGTTAGTTTATTATGCTCTTCTCCACCACCACAAAGAAAGTTAGCTTTGGGTTCTCACATCCCTTGAGAAGAGGGCACATTCAGCAGGTGTTATCTGTTCCCACAGGCTCAGCAGACAGAAACTGTATGGGGTAGGCAGACTTGAAGATACCCAAGCACTGACCTATTCATGGCTTTATGGGTAATGATCAGAACCTTGAACTGCATTAGGAAACAGTGCAAGGCAATGGTGTTACTTGGCAGTAATAAGACTGTCCAGTATGTGTATGAGCCACTGAACTGTACACCAGCCAACGTTTATGGGTGGCCTCCACTTCCAGGGCAGCACCATGTAAAGAAAATTATAGTAATCCATAGGAGTAATAATAATGCGGTTGTCAGGCCTGCAATTATATTCCTTTTAGAATTTTGGCCTGCCACACNTGATATCCAGCCCTGCTTAGATGGAATGGGTGATGTGAATTTTATTACTGTATTTTTATTTTTATTTTTTATTCTATTTTTTAAATTTTAAATGTTTCTTGTCTGTTGTGAGCCGCCCAGAGTCCCTATGGGAGTGGGCGGCATACAAATCCTAAGAAACTTGAAACTTGAAACTTCTTCCCGGAATTATACTTTAGGATTCAAATCTATGCTTTCCTATCCAAAAAGTATGTAAATGAATTTTGATGACAGCCCTAACATTCATATTTTGATTTCTGTGGTCACATTATGAAGATAGAATAGTTGAAATGTGCAAAGGTTTATGAATCCATGTTAGACAGATTAAAAATATCTATTGGGAAAATCAAAGGTCCATAATAAATACATATGACTATGCAGTTGCTGAAGTACTATAAAGCTGATATCTTTGCTCTTTTTTACCCTTTGTGGAGATCATCAGAGTAAATATTAATCTGTATGTAATATTACAAAACAGAAGCATGTGAATACAGATATAACACTTGATTTTCCCCCCTATTAGGCTAGCAGAAGTAGGTGATTACATAGAATGCTATTGCAATAGCATAATCAATTTATATGTGTTTTCCACTTTTTTTTTTAAAAAAAGAATAATACAATGACAACTTAGTGGCGATTTTGTGGATAATTCCAAACAGTGAATAAACTGAAAACATGCCAATTATCAGCTTCTTAAATAGTTTGTAGGGTTGACATCAGCATGAAACATTTTTCATAAGAATCTGTTCTTCAGTTTAATACCATTTAATTCTATTCCATTAACATTCTGAACTATTATAAATGTAACCAAATGAATTAATGATTCTATCATCTGATAACTCTTTCCTGAGCTTTTTAAAACATGGTGTGTGGCTCCTAGCAGTAGGGCTTCTTTCATAGTTTGATAAACCAGGATTATCAAGAACTTCACAGTCTTTTCATGTCTCTAAATGAAAATGCTTACAAGATAACAAAGCAAGTGAACTAAAAGAATGGCATTAGAACAAAGTAGGGAGTTGTGTTTATAAATACAGTTTTTATTATGGCTAATGCTATGACCTTCATTTTATTATGGCTAATGCTATGACCTTCAGAGTCCCATGTTTTGCAAATAAATCATAGTAATACAAATGGCCTTAATAATTACAACATGAACATTTTATGTCTCTAACACGGACATTTTCATATTATGCCGCAAACTCAAAGTTCAGAGAATTGTACTACACTGATATCATCAGAAATGGTGAGGACAGAATTTTGTATTTATCCCCTTACAGGGCCTTTAAAAATAAGCATTCCTTTCTAAAACATGAAGAAAATTGTATCATCAATTGTCACTGTATTTGAAGGCTGTGACATTGGAGAACTCTGAAGGATAAATGGAAGGGCTGGAAAATGCCATAAACTACATAATAGTTACTCCCAGTCTACACATGACTGAACCATCTATTTATTTGATTAGTGGTTTCTAAAACCCTGAAAGCTCCAGCCCTATTTTATATTCTTTACTAGCGAAACCAACCAACCAAAACCTCAAGATTTTATACAACAAAAGCTAAATAAATGAACTGATCTAAATATCTGGAATCATGAGAGAGAAATCTAATTTCCAGCAGATCCTTAGATTATCAGTAAAGAAGTTATAGCTTTATAAATAAAAAATTGTTGGAAAGTCTTGAAAACCAAATAAAATCAACTTGAAAGACATTCAGTGATGTCATTTAACAACATGGAAAGCCTAGGGTGGAAATGCAATGTGTAACCCACCTTGTCCATTTCTTGCTTGAAGTTGGCAAACACTTCATTGCTTTTTGTTAGCGTTTTCTGAAATTCTTCAAAACGTTCAGAATAGAGTGTCAGCTGCAATCAAAGGGGGAGGGAGGAGAGTGGTCAGTTACACACACCATTGCACAATAAGAGCACTCAATTCAGTTCAGTTCAATTCAAAAGATTGCAGAAAGATAGTAAGATGAAACTTTTAGCTTGGAATTTAAAGGTATCTTAAAAGTTTGTGGAAGAAGAAATTTCCATCCTCTTCAAAGCTGTCTATAAAATCAAGATGTTCCTGAAAAATTGGGATGTGCTGTAACTAAGGAGTGGGAGGATCCTAAAGGAACTTATATTAAGGAGATTCATTAGCTTTTCCTTCTGAAGAGTTAGGTAATTATGACAGCTTGTAGGCATTCCAGATGCATTTACTAAACTTTTTTTACTAAATAATTCCTCACAATTCAGCTCCCAGAATTCTTCATGTTTCTCCAGGCTACTTGGATTTCCAGCAATAAATTGGAGTGCCATAGGTTGCCTCTCCCTGCCCTGCTGACCCAGGTAAGAGAGGGTGCTAGTATTGGGATAAAGGAATCCAATGTCTTGTATTAGGGGTGTCAAACTCGCAGCCCGGGCCAGATGCATTACATGTTGGCCACGGACGCCCGATTTAGCAAAGGGAGAAAAGTCACACTGTCACGTGATGCTGCGAGTTTGACACCCTGCCTTACATGATCAACATGGCATAAAGAATAGTTTCCTAACAATTTCACTATTTCTAATGTTTAAAATTGCAAATTGTTAGCCCTTAAGACGAGTGTCAAACTCTATTTCATTAAGGGCCACATCAGGTTGTGTTTGACCTTGGAGGCGTGGCCAACTCAATATCACATGTGTTGGGGGTGCCTGTGGTGGCCCAAGGGCTCTGCCGGTGAAAACAGACTCCCGAGCACATTTTTGGCTGCAAAGGCTTCCTACGACCTTCTGCCATTGAAATCGGGCCCATGCAAGTTTCGTTTCCAGCTGCGATTGCATCCTGCAACCGTCTGTCAGTGAAAATGGAGGTGTCCCTCCTGAGCTCAGCTGGCAGAAGCAATGTGTGCTGGTCCTTTGCTGTTTCCAGGGTGGCCCTTCGGGCCAGATTTAAGCACCTTGTGGGCTGGATCCAGTCCCCGGACCTTGAGTTGACACCCCTGCCTTAAGATGTTCCTAAATGCTAAACAGATGTAGATAATCCCACTTATTTAGCTATATGAAGTTTGGGAGATAATATGTGTAATTAGGACAAAATATTTTTTGTTTTCACTGCTTTTCCTATCTTGGACAAAACCCAGCTTCAAATATTCAACCATCCTTGATATAAAGAGCCGAGGTGGCGCAGGGGTTAGAGTGCAGTACTTCAGCTGACTGTTATCTGCAGTTCAGCGGTTCTAATCTCACCGGCTCAAGGTTGATTCAGCCTTCCATCCTTCCGAGGTGGGTGAAATGAGGACCCGGCCGGGGGGGGCGTCTGGCTG